AAGTAAAGCTTCTAGGAATCTGAGTTTGGGCATCTATGCACCACAGGTGAACTAGCCCTCATTTTGTACCTGGGAAAAGAATTTGTTACACAGTTTGTGGAAGCACACTAACACGTAGCAGGAAACCATATACTTGATGATTTCTGCAGTGCGTTGTGATGAAGGCTTTGTCCTAAAAACTCTTGAGTCTATCAAGTGCTGTTCTGAGTAGTATCATAACATGCATGAACTTGGTAGTTGCTGAGCAAAACTGAACATTTCCCAATTCACTGAAGTTCCAGATTGTACTTCAGGGGGAAAGCCAGTCACTGTTATATTTCACCAGCTGTGACCACGATTAATTTAAGAAAGCCAAAATGCTGTATGGCTCATGTCACACACTTCTTTCCTCTCTGTTGTTTTCTTCACAGTGTTGACCAACAAATTCCACTTCTATGTCTAGACAGAGGTAAACATCTCATGCTGAGAAGTGGGAGTCAATCCACATGCAGTAAATATGTCAATCAAATTAGTGAATGAAAAAAAAAGTGATTTGATAAATAGGCAAATTGTAAAATATGCATGTGAACTTTAGCCTCTTCATGGATATAGAAAATACAGAGTGCCGACCTTAGGCTAGCTCTAGCTAATCTCTATGAAAATGATTAATCCCATATATTATCTAGAACCCAAAGCATGGATAACAGCTTGACTGCTGACAAAATAATGTTTAAAATGGCAATGGAAATGCAAAGTCAACATATGGAGAAGATAATTTGATTTTTGGTATGGTCTGTTAGGGAAATCTCTGTCTCTCTCTGTCTCTCTCTGTCTCTCTCTGTCTCTCTCTGTCTCTCTCTGTCTCTCTCTCTCTCTCTCTCTCTCTCTCTCTCTCTGTGTGTGTGTGTGTGTGTGTCTCTCTCTCTCATGTGTGTGTGTCTGTTTGTGTGTGTGTGTGTGTGTGTATTCAAAATCTTTTATATATACGTAGCAAACAGTCACATTGTGCAGTAGGTGCTGTCTTGGGAATGGTCCTCCAACAGAGGTTGTCTGATAGTTCAAGTCATTTAACGCTCTTAGTTAACCACTGTGAAACATTATCACACAGGAAATGTTTTCTAAGCCATCTAAATACTTAAAAAAAAAAAGAAAGAGAAAGTCAAAGGTTTATTTAAAAAATGACAGTGTCGTGCTTTGCAGTTGCATCTGTATTCAAACATATAACCAGAAGTGGTAGCTTAGACATATTACAGTTGTGTTAGGTGGGATTTTGTTTGTATTTAGGAAAATACATACTGATTGCCATACCATCTATGCCAGTATACATTTCTCAGAAGTATATGGAGGTTTCTCTTTTCCCACATCCTTACCAGAATTTATTATATTTTCTTGATGATAGCCATTCTTCTTGTGGTAGTATGGCATCTTAAAATAATTTTAATTTGGATTTCTCTCATAGCTAGGGATTACTGAACACTTCTCCCCATGTATTTTTTGGTTACTTCTGCTTGTTTTTGAGAACCATCTCATTTACTCACTCATTTATGAATTTTTTTGTTCTTCCAGTGTTTACTAAAAATCTAAATATTAATCCTTTCAAAACCTGAATTGTTGAGAATTTTCTCTTACTCTGTAGGCTAACAACTATTCTTACTGTTTTTTATTTCATACAGAAACTTTGCAACCATGCCACCTCATTTGTAAGTTCCTTACAAGTATTGACTGTGCGATTGGAATATTTTTCAAAAACTTACCTATTCCAGTATCTTGAAGTGAGCGTTTTTTTCTAGGTTTATCTCTAACAGTTTTAGACTTCTTCCCAGAGTAAGAGTTATGGATCTAGTTTAGTTTTCTATATTTGAATACCGAGTTTTCCTAGAATGATTGTTGAAGAGGCTGTTTTGCCAACCTGTGATTTGAGAGTGAACGTCCCAATTTCTAGTATATTTTTTTAAATACTTTTAAAATAGTGTTAAAACACTGTTATACAGTTTTCACTAAAGGTCATTCACTTACTGTGGTGGCTTGAATGAGAACGGCCTCATCTGCTCATATGTTTGAATATTTGGACCCTAGATTGTAGAACTGTTTGGTAAAAATTAGGAGGTGTGGCCTTGTTGGAGGTAAGTCACTGGAGGTGGGCTCCGAGGTTTCAGAAGCTAGCCTTCTCTGCCTCCTGCTTGTGGATCACATATAAGCTCTACTGCTCCATAACCACCCCTTCCTGCTTGTTGTCATGGACTGTCATGTCAAGCCCCTAGTTAAATGTTTTCTTTTATAAGTTGCCTGGTCAGCCTGGTCAGCTAGCCCATGAGCTTCTGGCAGATTCTCCTATCTCCTCCTCCTATATAACTATAGCCATGCTGGAGTTTGAGATGCTCACCTCCAATGAAAGGATTTCCACGGCACAGCTTGGGACAGATCACAGCAGGCCAAGATGGTTCCACGAGGGGAGGTTTATTAAGAGAGTGGGAGAGCAAGAGGAGAGAGAAGTAGAGAGGAGTAGAGGCCGGCCATGACCACGTGGAGAGAGGGGGAAGAGAAGGGGAGAGGGCAGAGGATAACCTGCAGGTGCTCAGGGTTGAGGAGTAAGAGTAATATCAAAGTCACAGTAATATCAAAGTCACTCTTCACAGTAATATCAAAGTCACTAAGACATAACATTTATTAGAATTATTCCTAGATATTTGGTTGCTTTTTTTTTTTTTCTGTTGTAGATTGGATTTGAACTTGTTTTCTTTTGATTGGGAAAGTTGCTACTGGTACAAAAAGGATTGAGGTTTAAAGTGTCTGTTTGTAGGTCTGTTGAATGTGGGTGCCTAAGTGCCCACAGATGGAGGTGAGAGGACAATGTACTGTGGTTAGCTCTTGCCTGCCGCCTTGTTGGGACAAGGCTTCTTATTCTGTTTGCAGCACCGCATAAGCCGGGTCAGCTGGCCCATGAGCTTCTGGCAGATTCTCCTATCTCCTCCTCCTATATAACTATAGCCATGCTGGAGTTTGAGATGCTCACCTCCACATCCAGCTTTTTACTAACGTTACCATGCTTACATGCTAAGTCCTTTCCCCAGTGAGCCATGCCTGACTTGGAGAAGCTGATCTTCCTGTGTTGATTTATGTTCAGCTTCTTTACTAAAAGTGATAACAAATTTATGATTTTTTTCTGGAAGCCATTCAGATATCTTTTTTTTATTGGCTATTTTATTTACATTTCAGATGTTATCCCCTTTCGACATTTCCCGCCCCAGAACCCCCCATCTCATCCCCCCTCTTCCTGCTTCTATGAGGATGTTGCCCCCATCCACCCACCAACTCCCATCTCCCCTCTCTTGAATTCCCCTACACTGGGGCATCCAGCCTTTATGAGATTAAGGCCATCATCTCCTACATATACAGCTGGAGCCATGGGTCCCTCTCTATGTGCTCCCAGCCTGGTGCTTTAGATCTTGGGAGCTCTGGTTGGTTGATATTGTTGCTCTCTCCATGGGGACACAAACCCTTTCAACTCCTTTAGTCTTCTCTCTTACTCCTCCATTGGGAACCCCATGATCAGTTCAGTGGTTAGCTGTGAGCATTTGCCTCTGTATATGTCAGGCTCTGGCAGACTTCTAAGGAGACAGCTATATCAGGCTCCTGTCAGCCTACACTTCCTGGCATCAACATCATTGTCTGCCTTCGGTGGTTGCACGTGGGATGGTACCCAGGTGGAACAGTCTCTAGACTGCCCCTCCTTCAGTTTCTGTCCCACACTTTGTCTCCATATTTGCTCCCTTGAGTATTTTGTTACTCGTTCTAAGAAGGACCAAAGCACCCACACTTTTGTATTCCTTCTTCATGAGCTTCATGTGGTCTGTGAGTTGTATCTTGGGTATTTCGAGTTGTTGGGCTAATATCCAATTATCAGTGAGTGCATACCATGTGTGTTCTTTTGTGATTGGGTTACCTCATTCAATTATGACTTAGTCAAAGAAGAAATAAAGAAATTAAAGACTTTTTAGAATTGAATGAAAATGAAGGCATAACATACCAAAACTTATGCAACACAATGAAAGCAGTGCTCAGAGGAAAACTCATAGCTCTAAGTTCCTACAAAAAGAAACTGGAGAGAACATACACTAGCAACTTGATAGCACACCTGAAAGCTCTAGAACAAAAAGAAGCAAATACACCCAAGAGGAGTAGACCGCAGGAAATAATCAAACTCAGGGCTGAAATCTACCAAGTAGAAACAAATCTATATAAAGTATGAACAAAACCAAGAATTGGTTCTTTTGAGAAAATCAACAATATAGTTAAACCCTTAGCCAAACTAACCAGAGGTCACAGAGACAGTATTCAAATAATAAAATCAGAACTGAAAAGGGAGACATAACAGAAACTGAGGAAATTCAAAAAATCATCAGATCCTACTATCAAAGCCATTCAGATCTCTTAAGTATCGGACGGTGTTATCTGAAGTAGTCATAACATGAATCCTTTCCTGTATACTTTTTCATCTTTAGCATGACTATTGCTCTAAGACTTCAAATGTTGTACTTAATAAGAAAGGAAGAGATATACACCCATGACTCACTCCCTATTTTAGGGAGAATGTGTTGAGTGTAATGTTGGCTATAGGTTTGCCATACACAGCCCTCCTCCATACATACACAAATATTCACACACATGCATTCAGAAAACTGCATTTATTCTTTTATGTGGAAAAATTAAGACACAGAAGAACCTTCAATCACTGGGGAGAAAGAGCCTTCACACCTCATGCCATCCATAAGAGCAGGTGGCTCTCTGGGAGGCAATTTGAATAATGTGTAGAGAACAGAGGTACTGTGACTGAGACCCAGAGCCTGCAGACCAGGTGAGATGGGCTATGCCACCTTCATGGATTCATTGCCTTATGTATGAAACCATATTCCTATTGTCTTAGCCCATTTCTAGAAATGAGTACCAGAACATGAAAGGCTACAAAGAGGGAATATATAGTTGTATTTTAACAGAAAAGGGGAAAATGAAAACTATAAAAATTAATTTTCCATATGACTTTATTTTCAAATTCTTTCTTTCAACCAGTATACTTGCTGCGGGAATGACAAATATCAGTGTCAGAGAATCCAAATATACCAAAAATGCTACATGTAGTCTGGGGTAGATCTTCTTAGTTCTGGTCACATACATTCAGTGGCACTAATAACACAGTAACTATAAGGTAACTAACATGAAACCTCAGAGCTGTTACTCTACCACAGCTGCATGGAGAGAGATTTCAAAGAGAATAAAGATGGCAGTGAAAGTTGTTACGGAGTAAACTCTCAAGTGGTGACTCAACAACTTCTTCCCAGCTTACAGATGGTAGATTGGGCAGGTCAGGAAGTAGTGACAGTCTAAATGACCAAGTTACCGTTTCTCTTTCTAGAAATAATTAATTCTTCAATTAGTGCCTGGTGTATCAGGTGGAGCGCAGAGTGGGCTGTTACAGAAGCGTCAGGACCCTGGCAGGTCAGACAGATTGGATGCCACTAGTAATCACGGTTGCTTTCTGAACGTTGGTAGCAAGATGACTTCTGATTTGTAATCTCGGACATATAAATAAACAAAAGGGCTAGCAACTACACAATAACTTTCGTAAATAGCACTTGAAAATTAACTGTACCAGGGCTGTGTTTGTGCAAAAACTTCAGAAGACAAAGCAACCAGTCTTTTTCTTCACACGATTCGTTTGCAGAGCAGCCCTTGTGGCCTTTTCAAAGACCTTCCTCACTCCGTCTTTGGTCTTTGCTGAACACTCCACATATTCGAAAGCACCAATGCTGTTCGCCAAATCTCGGCCTTGTTCAAGTTTCACCGGTTCTTGTTTCCTCTTGGCTAACTCTTGTATTGTGTGCAAGTCATTTCGAAGATCCTTCTTGCTTCCGACCAGGATGATAGGCACGTTGGGACAGAAATGCTTGACTTCTGGAATCCATTTATGTGGGATGTTCCCAAAGCTATCAGGATTGCCAATGGAGAAACATATCAAGAGGACATCAGTGTCCGGATAGGAGAGTGGCCTCAGGCGATCATAATCTTCTTGACCAGCTGTGTCCCACAGGGCCAACTCCACCTGTTTTCCATCCACTTCGATATCAGCCACGTAGTTCTCAAACACTGTGGGCACGTAAACCTCCGGAAACTGGTCCTTGCTGAAGACAATAAGCAAGCATGTTTTTCCACAAGCTCCATCTCCCACGATCACCAGTTTCTTCCGGATGGCAGCCATTGCCTAGGATGTTTCTGCTGCTGTACACAACACCTGGGACTTCTCAGACCACAGGCTCTCAGACTACACGCAGGTAGACCGATTAGTGCAGAGGACACCTATCCTGAGCCACCACCTCTGAGGCCCAGCTCAGCAGGAGGTGGCAGACTCAAGAGAGAACCAACTGAAGAAGGTGTTAGAAGGCCGGTGGTGGAGGGAGGAGGAATACGCATGCGCCTAAATGCCCCGCTTGGCTCGAGCCTGCCAGCCCCACATACCCTCACTCTTTCACAGTTCAACATGGTTGCGTGTGAGAGGTCTTAAGCAATCATCTCACCTATGTGGGCATGATGAAAATCTCAAAACACATCCTTTCTATTGCTGGTTTCTTCAAGATATACTGTTCATAACAAATGCTAAATTTTGTCAAAATTGACCTTTTGAGATTGCTGTGTGGTTTCTCTTCTTAAATCGATTTAAATGCTTTGCCACATTTATTGATTTGCATATATTGAACGGTCCTTGTATGCTTGGAGTGAAATTCACTTGGCTCACATTCGCGATAATTCTTTTTAATATGCCCTTGATTTCAATTTGCAAGCATCTTGTTGAACTCGAGGTGGGGGTTGGGGGTGGTATTTACATTTGTGTCCACCAAGGAAATTGGATGGGTTTCTTGGCTATGTCTTTAATCTGGTTTTGGTGTCAGTGTACTACTGGTTTCATAGAATGAGTTCAGCAGTGCTCCTTTCCTTTCTACTCCAAAGGACAGCTGGGGGATGGGGAGGCTTGACATTAACTCTTAATGATTTGGAGAAAGTCTGCAGGGAATTCCTCCAGGCCTGGGGTTTTCTTTGTTGGAAGACTCTTCATAACTGCTTTAATCATGTCCCTCTCCTGCTTCTCTGAAACATGCTTGCTCATACCATAATTTTGTCAGATTAGTTGTATGCAGGAAATATCCATTTAGTTTAGATTTTTCCATTTAAAAAGATGTAAGTTTTCTGAATGATACTCACTGGCTCTGAATTTAATAGGAACCCACTGTAAGCGTACCCATGCTCACTTCCAGCTTTATTAGTTTCACGTTCTCTTTCTGTAGGCTAATTTTGTTAATGCTTTGTCAATCTTGTACATCTTTTCAAAGAACCAGTTCCTACTCTCACTGATTCTTTATGTTGCTTTTAGTCACTATTTTATCACTCTTTGCCTCAGTATCTATTGTTTCTTTTCAGTTTTTGGCTTTAGGTTTGGCATCTTTTCCTTTGAGATATTTATAATGTTTTAGTGTAAGTATTCGGCTCTAAACTTCACTTTTAAAACTTCATTCTTGTATCCTGATGGGTTTAGATTTCATTCTAGTAACTTCTAAATTATTTCCGTAAAATTGAAGTTACTAATAGCTAAGTAACTTAAAAGTAGAAAAGGAATGGGGAGGTGGAGAGAAGAAACAGGGAAGTTCGTGTGATGACACATGAAAAACAATACGGAGAGCACACTAAAGCAAACACAAAAACTAGGAACAAAATAACAAGTAAAATGGTGGTACAAGCAGTGCTTTTTGTCTTTTAAACTTTTGTTTGTTTGTGGGGGAGGGGAGGACCCATTTTCTTTCCAAATTTTGAATAAGTGAGACCAGGCCAGAGAGGACTATGTGCAGCTGAGCCTTTCCCTTTGTAGGCCTGGCAGAATTTTATGTTTATAAAGCCTGGAAATTCAGGAAGTTTCATATCCCATCTTACACTGCCACAGACATCAGAACATCCCCTTATAGAATATGCGTTTTACCTGTGTAGCTACAGATGTGGGAGATCTTTCCAGGCCTTTAATAGAATGCAGAGCAATCAGACTAAAGCAGCCTGCCCGTGTAGGGCAAAGCCCAGAACAATCTTGTGATCCTGTTTTCTCTGCTGACAATGTTCTCTGTCCTAGCACTCCAGCTGGTCTCTTTTCTCTCCTCTCACTAGCATTTCAGCTGCAGACCCTCCAGGCTCGGGGTGACAGGCTTTGCTCTGCATCCTGGGTTACACTTCACCCCTAAGTAGATCTGTGTCCATGAATGTGTGAGTTACACTGGGTCTACATTTGTCCTTTCTAACTCATTTGTTTGGCTAGTGGAGAGGGAAGGCTTGAGGCTTGAAATCGTTAGTGTTCTGATATCTAAGCTCTCATTGTTTCTTCTTGCCTCTTGCCTCTGACTCACTTTTCTTCTTGTTAAGAATTAACTATGTTGAGGACTTCCAGTCTGGGCCCAAGCATAGAACAGGTCACAGGCAGCAGCTCTGTACCCAACCCCAGAAAACCGAGAGAAAGAGGGACTCCCAGGAGCTTTAACTCAGGCAGCATCCCAGGTAAAGATGAATCACTCCTGATATCTGCTGTTAGAAGTTCTAATCCAGATGCTGGCCTCCGAACTTATACTACTCAGACCTTTGAAGGGCCACTGACAAGAACATCAAACAGCTAGAGACTGACATCACTAATCTGAAGAAATCCCTCGTTTCGCTGTCTGAAAGACCTCCTAAAATTGCAAAGACCCTTATTGGACTTGATTTACTCTAGTACAATAGAAAAGGCTGTGTACAGCTCTTGACTGTGTACAGCCCTTAAAGAAGAAGGTTGCCTTTACATAGACAAGACAAAGAGGGTTAAAGAGAGCATGAAATAGGTAGTGAAGCCTAAGAAAAATCAGAGAGAGAAAGAGACAGATGAATGCTGGTACAAGAATTGGTTTTCAGCCTCTCCAAGGTTGTCAACCCTATTTCCTTCCATCTTGGGACCATTATTTGGGTTGTTTTTGCTTTTTTCTGCTGGTCCCTGGCCTTCAAATAGGCGGACTAACTATGTGATACAACAGATAAATAATTTGGTAGCAAAACCTACTCAGATACATTATCATTAGTTAGCTATGGAGGACCACGAGACTCAAGATGAGGTTGTTACTTTATACAGGGTGTTTCCAAAACCCATCTTCACCCAACCTAAATGGGGGGACTTCTACCCCTAGACCAAGCAGAGAAGGGCCACCCAGAACCCCCTCTGACTGGCAATCTGAATTCTTGCTTAGGCTGCTAGGCTAAGCACTGCAAGGGAATATCAATAAAAGATAAAAATATCTATCTGGGTTCCCTGAGAGACAAGCCTGACTGCATAGGGGTTGATGTCAAAAGTATCCCCTCTCCAGGAAAAAGACATCGGGACAGGTATGGCCTAAAATCAGCAATAGGCCTGTCATACATGTATACTAACACCAAGTCTTGGGTCTCAGTGGAAAAACATTGAAACAGATGACTATAAGCGCTAATGTAAACAGGCAGCTTTTGTGGAAATTTACAAGCCTGAGTAGTCATAGACCTTGTAAATAGGTAGCCTTAGCAGACAATACCAACTTAGATAAGGACAAGTGAGTCATAGGAAGAGTCATAGTGACTTGTCCTCTGAACCTTTAGCCAGCGGATACCCGGTTCAGAAGATATCTGTATTCCCCCTGAACACCCAAACTCCAGTGTTATTCCCTTCCCCACATCCTGCCTTTCTGTGTTTATAACCCCTGTGTGAGTGAATTACTATTTGAGAAAAAATAAATTATAAAAAAAGAATTATCTATGTTTTCTCAATTTATACTTCCATTAATGGATAATAAATTGGCATCTTCCTATCTGTTGAAAATAGTACTGTCTTGAACGGGTTTAGATTATTTCCTCAAGATCTAGTTTCCAATTCTTTTATATTGTTATTGTTTGAATCTTTTTTCTTTGAAATTCATGTTGAATGAAATTTCTGTTGACAGTTTTAAGAGGGGGCTATTGAAGAGATGACGAGGGCATGAAGTCTCTGCCCTGAAAACTAGTGCCAGTATTCTGGAACAGATCTTTTTTCCTCTACTTCATCACTTTTTCGGCCCTCCATCATAACAGTGCAAGAACATCCTCACAGATGCCGGCATCTTAAACTTGGAATTCCATGTCTCCAAGACCATAAGAAACAAATTCAGTTCATCAAATATTATTTACTCTCAGGTATTTTTTTACAGAACAAAATAGAATCAGATAGCTATATACCATGAAGTGAGATCATGAGCCACGTAGTAGTTTTATTTTGCATGGTTTTAAGAATATCTATGAAGTTGTCCTGGGTGGATATATTACTTTTTCTACTGTACAGTAATTTCTAATTTCTCAACATCTTCATCAGCACTTACATGTTACTATTTCTTCTCCTTTTAAATGATGGCAACCTTAACTGGTGTGACTTAATACCTCACTGTGGTGTTGCTTTCCTCATGACTAGTAACACTGAACATCTTTTCATGTGCTGATTAGTCTTTGGATAGTTTCTTTGGAGATATGTGTCCTCAAAATCTTTGCCCATTTCTTAGTTGAAATATCTAAAGGATAAATTTGTCTGTGAAATAATGGAATAATTCAAATAACTTTAGGGATCTGGGGTTCTTTTCACTTTCCTACAATTTTGAAGGCAAATAGTTCTAGAACTTTCCAGATGTAATGAATTCTTACAAGAACAATGATTTTTCTTATAAGTTCTTGCATTAGCCAACAAGAATGTTAGCAGTCTAACATTCATTCCCTATTATAAACATGTGAATTACTGACATTATTTAAAAAAAAACATTAGTTTCCCACTCCCATGTGCTTGCCAATGTGGCATATACACGTATACAGAAGGGATACAAATTAAGATGGCTCAAGAGTAAACGTGCTTGCTACTAGACTGACTCCCGCATGTGTGCTTTGTCGTCCCTGTTATTCATGTTAGACAAAATTTAAAGTTACTCTAAGTTTATTTTTTTCATTATTTGTTTTATTTTTGAGATTATAATTGCATATTTTCTCTTTTCCTTTCTCCCTTATAAAGCCTCCCATATGTGGTTTCTTTTGCAATATTTTTTGTTACATAGACACATATGCACACATATGTGTTTCATGTGTGCATATTCTTAAACATACAATGCTCAGTCTGTATAATGCTACTTGTGTTGACCACTTGATATTGAATAGATTCGTGTGGTCTTCCCCAGGAAGAGTATTTCTACTCCTCTCTTCATTCCATACTTGCCTGTAGTTCTTTGTGTAAGGTTGAGGCCTCCTGGACATTAACATATCTGCTTTAGTATGCATGTTACTGCTGTCCTTATTCAACTCATGTTTAGACTGTTGTGTTGGTGATGGCTGCAGTAAGAATTTTAGTTTCATTAAAAACCTAGTTA